ACCCCCAAAGCGCTGTGGAAGGGGGGCTGAACCAGTCATACCTCTGGGCACCGCAGGTGCGGCAGCAGATGCGGAGGTAGGCGCAACAACTGGAGCAACAGCGGGAGTCACCACAGGAGTGACAATCAGCCTAATAGCACTAGGAGTAAGGTGCGCTGTGCGTGCAAGCAGCGTCTGCAACGCCTGAGCGAACTGATCCAACAAGAGATCCTGCTGATCAAGTCTGGCAACCAACATAGGGAGCAAGGGCGTACCTGCACCATCAGGATTCATGGCATTCGTGTAGTGTCAGGGAGCGAGGAGCCAGACACACAAGGAGGTGCAATTAAAGGTAGGTTTATTAATATCAAAATAAGACAAGAGTCTATGCAAATCCAACAGCGGAAATCGTAGCCAAAGCCGGGGTCAAGAGCCAGGAAGAATCGTCGCTAGAGCCGGGATCGGGAGCCAGGAAGAATCGTCACCAGAGCCGGGATCAGGAGCCAGGAAGAATCGTCACCAAAGCCGGGATCAGGAGCCAGGAAGAATCATCACCAGAGTCGGGATCAGGAGCCAGGAAGAATGGTCGCCAGAGCCGGGGTCAGAAGCCAGGAGGAGTCTTAGCCATAGCCGAGTCAGTATCCAGGAAAGCAATGAGTAGCTAAACAGGAGCTTGCTGCTGTGCCAGAGACAGGACACGAATGCAATGGACAGCTACAAACAGCAGACTTATATGTGATAAGCCGCCACCTCCTGGGGGAGGAGCTGCAGAGGGCTGAAAGCATAAAGGATCCCACAATGCTTTGCAGACACCTAAGATGGATGCCAGCATATGGAGCAGCACAAGCACTGAGAAAAGGTAGGACCTTGACAGTGTATGAAGAAGTGAGGTTGGTACCCAAAGTTATGGTTATGGGCATCATATATCCATCTAGGTATAACGAAATAAACATAGGGGAATCAAAAGGGAATTAACTTATAACCTTTTCCTTATATTCCGTTTTGGAAATTAAATTCATCTTTTGATTCCCCTATGTTTATTTCGTTATACCTAGATGGATATATGATGTTCATTATATTTTTCAACCTAATCCCATTATGCATAGATGGATATATGATGCCTATTATATTCTTCAACCCTATTTGGACATTCTAGGCCAATTAGACCTCTAGACAGAACATATTTCCATATTTCTCTGCAATTTCCGTAGGTAAAATCAATTAAGTTAATTTTTATTAATTAACATCTCTTGATTCCTTTTTGAAATTAAATTAATTTCAGATTTTTGTCTATCCTATTTTGTCTAGATGGATGTTTGATGTCCATTGTTTCCTTTCTTATGGTTGTGAACGTATAGGTCAAATAGATCTTTGTTAGGTTATACCTATATATCCTAAAGCATTTAACAGGTAAAATTGCCCAAAGTTTATCTCAACCTATTGAATTATGATCTCTTCATAGTTTCCGTTAAATTTAATTAATCTTTTTTTGTTTATCCCATTGTGCCTAGATGATATCCAATGCCCATTATATCCTCTACAACTGTTTTGGACGTGTAGGCTAATTAAGATTTTTTAGCTCATTTTCTTCTAGCTCTGTGAGCTTTCACATCCAGGGTGAGCCATTGAGTCCCATATATATGTATATATATTTGATTAAATACCCTGTATTGGATATATTAAAGTTGTTTGGTAATTGAACAGTTTTTTTTATATACTTTTAGACTGCCTTGGCGGTAGAAATTTCCTCACAAAATCCCCCCTGAAGAAGCCCGTGAGGGCGAAACATGTAGGGAGTATACTACATTTACCTAACCAAGTCTGAATCTCAGTTGGTATTCTTAGAATTGAAATTGTTTTTATGTTTTTGTATTTTTTCCTTTCTTGTTTTACCAAATTACGAAATAAAATTATATAACTTTTAATGTGTGGTATTCATGTCTATGCACCCTGAAAGTCCCATCTTCTCTAGTGATTATAGACAAAAAAAAATGATAAAAAAATATCTTTGCAATATTTGTCATACAAATGTATCTTGTCTATGGATAAAAAGCTTTGCACCTGTGCTTTCATCCTACAAATCTTGTAAAATTTCAATTTTTCAGTAACAGATTCTCTTATACTGAGAATTTTGTATAAAACGACAGTACATATACCATCCTATGCAATGCTTACATTCATGTAAACAATAAAATCACTACCACATGATTCAAAAATGTTACTATGTCACAATGTTACTGTAGCACACAATGAAAGGTTTACCCGTTTACAAAACCAGTCCTGTCTTTGATACATTTTTATTCGCATTCGCTGTCGGTGTGTACTGCCTTCTTCAAAGTCCAGTTGTGTCGGTGAAAGGAGCCGTGTAAGTGTTTAGGGGCAAGGGGGCTAGGACAGGTAGTGCATTTTTTTTTTACCAAGAATGCATTAGGGTAAAAATGTTTTGTCTTTAACACCACATTAATTGTGGTGGCTGCATATATTGTCACCCTGTGATCTGGCCAATGAATTTTCCTGTCTGGGTGTTTTCACTCTGGTTTGAAGGAGGAACGGAGACATACTTGGACAGCAGCATTGTCAATCTGGGCAGAGCGTACTGTTAGATGAATTAGCAGATTTAGATACACTAACAAATTGAAGCTAAACTCCAGCTAACATTTTTAAAACAGTAGCAGAAACACATATATATATTTATATATATATATACAGGTGAAACTCGAAAATTTGAATATCGTGCAAAAGTTCATTGATTTCAGTAATGCAACTTAAAAGGTGAAACTAATATATGAGATAGACTCATTACATGCAAAGCAAGATAGTTCAAGCCGTGATTTGTCATCATTGTGATGATTATGGCCTACAGCTCATGAAAACCCCAAATCCACAATCTCAGAAAATGAGAATATTGTGAAAAGATGCAATATTCTCGGCTCAAAGTGTCCCACTCTAATCAGCTAATTAAGCCATAACACCTGCAAAGGGTTCCTGAGCCTTTAAATGGTCTCTCAGTCTGGTTCAGTAGGAATCACAATCATGGGAAAGACTGCTGACCTGACACCATCATTGACACCCTCCATAAGGAGGGAAAGCCTCAAAAGGTAATTGCAAAAGAAGTTGGATGTTCCCAAAGTGCTGTATCAAAGCACATTAATAGAAAGTTATGTGGAAGGGAAAAGTGTGGAAGAAAAAGGTGCACAAGCAGCAGGGATGACCGCAGCCTGGAGAAGATTGTCAGGAAAAGGCCATTCAAAAGTGTTGGGGACTTTCACAAGGAGTGGACTGAGGCTGGAGTCAGTGCATCAAGAGCCACCACACACAGACAGATCCTGGACATGGGCTTCAAATGTCGTATTCCTCTTGTCAAGCCACTCCTGAACAGCAAACGTCAGAAGCGTCTTACCTGGGCTAAAGAAAACCAGACCTGGTCTGTTGCTCAGTGGTCCAAAGTCCTCTTTTCTGATGAGAGCAACTTTTGGATCTCATTTGGAAACCAAGGACCCCGAGTATGGAGGAAGAATGGAGAGGCCCAAGGACCCAGAATATGGAGGAAGAATGGAGAGGCCCAAGGACCCCGAGTATGGAGGAAGAATGGAGAGGCACACACTGCAAGATGCTTGAAGTCCAGTGTGAAGTTTCCACAGTCTGTGTTGATTTGGGGAGCCATGTCATCTGCTGGTGTTGGTCCACTGTGCTTCATTAAGTCCAGGGTCCACGCAGCCGTCTACCAGGAGATTTTGGAGCACTTCATGCTTCCTTCCACAGACAAGCTTTATGGGGATGCTGACTTCATTTTCCAGCAGGACTTGGCACCTTCCCACACTGCCAAAAGCACCAAAACCTGGTTCAATGACCGCGGGATTACTGTGCTTGATTGGCCAGCAAACTTGCCTGACCTGAACCCCATCGAAAATCTATGGGGCATTGCCAAGAGAAAGATGAGAGACATGAGACTGAACAATGCAGAAGAGCTGAAGGCCGCTATTGAAGCATCCTGGTCTTCCATAACACCTCAGCAGTGCCACAGGCTGATAGCTTCCATGCCACGCCGCATTGAGGCAGTAATTGCTGCAAAAGGGGCCCAAACCAAGTACTGAGTACATATGCATGCTTATACTTTTCAGAGGTCCGATATTGTTCTATGTACAATCCTTGTTTTATTGATTGCATGTAATATTCTCATTTTCTGAGATTGTGGATTTGGGGTTTTCATGAGGTGTAAGCCATAATCATCACACATCACATGACAAATCACGGCTTGAACCATCTTGCTTTGCATGTAATGAGTCTATCTCATATATTAGATTCACCTTTTAAGTTGCATTACTGAAATAAATGAACTTTTGCACGATATTCTAATTTTTCGAGTTTTACCTGTGTGTGTGTATATATATATATATATATATATATATATATATATATATATATATATTATACCCTTTTGGGATAAGGGTTTTACATAAATAAATAAAATTGACCATTGCAAGCATGCCTTTCATTGGTAAATGGTTTGTCTCAACCTTCTAACTGTCGTTTTTGCTGGACATCTTGGTCTGTTTACCACTTGCCCTCCAGAGGATTTACCCCCCTTCCTGACAAGGCCATTTTTTGCGATACGACGCTGCATTACTTTATCTGACAATTGTGCAGTCATTCAACGCTGCACCCAACTGAAGTTTATGTCCTTTTTTTCCCCACAAATAGCGCTTTTTCAGTGGCATTTGATCACCTGTGCTGTTTTTAAAAAGACCGACAATTTTGCTATAAAACATGTCCAGTAAAAAATTTTTTTAAAAATCTAATTTCTTCATAAATTTAGTCCGAAATGTATTCTGCTCTCAATGTCTGCTAAAAAAAATCCCAATTCGTGTAAATGAATTGGTTTACGTGAAAGTTATAGCGTCTGCAAATGGCGGTATGTATACTGAAATTTTTGTTTTTAGTTTTTTTTTTACTAGTAATGGTGGCAATCAGCGACTTACTGCAGTACTGCGGTGGGAATTCTGACACTGGATGGGAACTGACTAACTGCCACTGACATCTCCAATGACACTAATACAGTGATCAGTGCTAATAAAAAGCACCAACACTATACTAATGACACTGGGCAGGAAGGGGTTAACATCTGGGGTGATCAAAGGGTTAACTGTGTGTTGTTTTACTGTGTGTGCTGTGTTGTGTTTTACTAGGGAATCATGCTGCTTTGTATTGCTCTGCTGTGCAGAGAAATACACAGCAGCTTGTCCTTGCTGGCAGGAGAGAGACCTGTGTTTACACACAGGTCTCTCCCCTGTCAGTTTTACTCGGCGATTGCCAGGTGCTGGAAGGGAATCTCCAGCCGAGACTCGGTGATTGACATCTGTAGCTGCCAATGGCGGCGCGGGTAGGGCAGTGCGCAAGCCCCCTACCCCGCATTACAGACCACGTATATATATATATATATATATATATATGTGATCTTGCGCAGCCCTGTAGCAGTAGTAGTTCTACTATAGGGCAGCGGGCAAGCAGTTAATAAAAATTGAAAAAAAACAAAAAACAAAACAGACGTACTTGATCACCCAGTGCAAATAAAGGAGCCTAAGGCTCCATGTACACTGCAGCTGATAAACGCACGTTTAGGAGCTTTTCTGCATTTTTTTCAGTAGCCCCTGAACCCTCCCTAATGTTTTCCTATGTGTCCATGTACACAGAGTCATTTATAGGCAGTTGAGTTTACAGTCATTTTTTTGAACGCACCAAACTTTCGTTCAGGAGTAGTTTTTATCAGCGTTTCAGTTTTTTTAATTCTTCCAGTTCCAGATGCTGTCCAGAGCCTTTTTTCATCATGAAAAATGCATGCAAAGTGTTTTCCCGGTACTCAAATGGACCCGGTACACCAGACTTTGAGGTCTCGCATGAAAGAAAATATGTTAGACACTGCTGCAATAATTTCTGCACAGAAATGAGCCGGAACACATCCAAACACCACAAAAAAAAGACATAATCTCAACAAATACTGCTCTCTTTTTATATTCTATCTAAAACACACTGACTGTAACACTGATACTAAATCTATATACACACCTTTTTTAATCCAATTTAGGGCTCATGTACACTGCGGCTTATAAACTCACGTTTAGGAGCTTTTCTGCGTTTTTTCAGCAGCCCCTGAACTCTCCCTAATGTCTTCCTATGTGTCCATGTACACAGAGTCGTTTACAGGCAGTTGAGTTTACAGTCGTTTTTTTTGAATGCACCAAACTTGCGTTCAGGAGTAGATTTTATCAGCGTTTCAAATGCCAAACGCTTGTAAACCGTGTTTATAAGCATTTGCATTTAGAAGCGTGTTTTAACTGTTCCATATCCAGATGCTGTCCAGAGATTTTTTTATCATCAGAAATGCATGCAGAGTGTTTTCCATGTATTCAAATGGACCCGGTACACCAGCGCAGTCAGTTCCAGGTTTTGCGTGAAGGGAAAAAATGGTAGAAAGTGCCGCATTATGCTCATGATGGGATCCATAGTGACTACAACCAGAAAAGACAGGTCATCTCAACACATACTGCTCTCTCTGCTTCTGCTCTCTCTATTCCTCTCAAAATGTCTTAAATAGTAATTTTTTTACTGTTTTTCAGTGCATTCTGGGAATTTTGGAAGGTCTCCTGAGGTTATCTTTAAAAAACGCTTCTAAACGCAAACGCACATAAACGCGGTATGCAAATGTGGCTAAACAGATGTTTTTTAACCTACGTTTTCCAGCAGTTTCCATTGTTCAGAAGTGTTTTCCAAATGTCCCGTGTACATGGAGCTTAAAAAAGAAAACAAATGCAGTCACCTTATATAAGAATTGGTAAGCTGCTATATATTACATTTTTTCTTTTGGGTTTAATATTGCTTTAATGTTTGGACTGTTGGGACAAATCTGCATGTAGCTGCAAAGAGAAGTGGCATGTGTTTTCCTGATTGTATAATTCTCAGTAGTTTTATGCACAGGCAGCTCCTAAATTAACAGCAGCATGACATGTTCACTGATTAGATTAGAAGATGCTAATGTGTTACTAATGTGTTTGTGACATAGAACATCTCCTCTATACAGTTGACTCTCTGTATATACTTTGACACCGAGGTCAGCATCCCCCCTTGGCACGCTTGGGGTGGAAACCTGATGCCTTTTTTGCTGGAACACGGCAGGTTGTGATCGAGGAAGCCTGCCTGCCTTGGTTGTGTCCAGTTCGCCCTTCCATAGGCCCCAGATCTAGAGGTATGGATGCAGATAGGGGTGTGCAGCCAGTACAGAGAGGCCACCAAGATGGCTGTACAAGACCCCATAACTTCTAATGCATGGCCCTGTCTGGCACCAGGGGCAGACTGATCATTCGGGCATTGCCAGAGGGCCCGGGGTCTGTAGGGGGCAGGGGTGGACTGATCATTCGGGCATTGCCCAAGGGCCCAGGGTCTGTAGGGGGCAGGGGCAGACTGACCATTCGGGCATTGCCCAAGGGCCACGGGGGGGGGGGGGGGGGAGGGGGGGGGGGGGGGGGGCAGTCAGTAGGGGGCAGGGGCAGACTGACCATTCGGGCATTGCCCAAGGGCCCAGGGTCAGTAGGGGCCTGGTGAGAGGCTCACTGGGCACAATTCATTAAGCTGTATCTTACCGCATCCGAGTTTAAAAAAAAAGTTTTAATTCACTAAAAAAAGCTACTAAAATACTGCATGAGTTATTTTATCAAGTCATGCGGTATGTTACTAGTGAAAACCATGCATTGATGTTTCAGTTGTCAGCGGGGTTCCCCTCTGACAGCTGAATGTAAAAGAATTTAAAAAAAAAATTTTAAAAAAACGGCGTGGGGTCCCCCCTCCATCCACATCAAGCCCTTCATGTCTGGTATGGATTTTGAGGGGAACCCCCACACCAAAAAAAAAAAAATGGTGTGGTGGTCCCACCCAAAGTCCATACCACACCTTTATCCAAGCATGCAGCCCGGCAGGTCAGGAAAGGGGGGGGGAGGGATGAGCAAGCGCCCCCCCCCTCCTTAAACATACCAGGCCACATGTCCTCAACATGGGGGGGGTTGCTTTGGAGCGGAGGGGTCTCCCCCCCAAAGCACCTTGTCCCCATGTTGATGGGGACAAGGGCCTCTTCCCCACAACCCTGGCCGGTGGTTATGGGGGTCTGCGGGCGGGGGGGCTTATCGGAATCTGGAAGCTCCCTTTAGCAACGCTGGCTCCCTGCCATCTGACTGCTCCACTGGCTTGACAGTTCTTAAATATGTAAGGGGCGGGGCCACCTGGAGACATCACGTGTGTGACCCCGCCCCTTTTGGCATCATGAACCGGGGCATGCTGGCTCAATTATGTCACAAGGAGGTTGGGCCACATGCGTAATGTCACTGGGTGGCCTCGCCCCCTTACATATTTAGGAATTGTCACGCCAGTGGAGCAGTCAGATGGTCGAGAGCCAGCGTAGGGAGGGAGCCTTTTTTCTTTTTTTGGGGTGGCAGCTGCGATTGACGTTGGATCTACTTCAGGGGACATTCTTTTATTTTTCTTCTTTTAATAAAGGATTTGTCAAAAACTGTGTCCTGTCTTTTTTCACACTACACTTTTTTTATGTGGATTGGTAGCGGTACCATGTACCCCATACTCATTCACATGGGGGGCGGGAACTGGGGGCCTCCTTGCTAAAGGGGGCTTCCAGATTCCGATAAGGCCCCTGCCTGCAGTCCCCCACAACCACAGGCCAGGGTTGTGTTGAAGAGGCCCTTGTCCCCATCAACATGGGGACAAGATGCCTTGGGGTGGAACCCCCCAAAGCACCCCCCCAGGTTGAGGGCATGTGGCCTGTTATGGTTCAAGGGGGGGCTCTCGCTCACCCCCCCCTTTCCTGAACTGCCGGGCTTCATGCTCAGATAAGGGTCTGGTATGGATCTTGGGGGGGACCCCACGCCATTTTTTTTCAATTTTGCCATGGGGGTTCCCCTCAAAACCCATACCAGACCCGAAGGGCTTGGGACGAATGGAGGGGGGACCCCACGACATTGTTTTATTTTTTTTAATTATTTTTAATGGCCTTTCTATGCAGCTGAGCTGCAATATGTAGGTGGGGTGTTGTGTGGGTGTGGCTTTGGATTTAGTGTAGGTGGAGACACAGGGGGCCCCATTATCTCTTATTGCCCTAGGGCCCCATGAGTTGTCAGTCTGCCCCTGTCTGGCGCTCTTAATTTATTACAAACATTTTCCAGCACATTAGGCTCCAGAGGTTCCCTGCCCCTGCTTTGGAATTGTACCCAGGGGTGTATTTACCACAAGGCAAACAAGGCATTTGCTTAGGGCGGCATTTTTCAGGGGGGCAGTGCCGTCCCCCGAAAGAAGGGACACATGCAGCATGGGAACCAGTTGGAAGCTGCAGGCTGCTTGATGTTGATTGCAGAGCCTGACTCTTGTCATCCCGGGGATGTCCAGAGCTGTGAAGGTGTCTTATGTCTTGCCAGGGTGAGGGGCGTGGGTTGCCAGTGTGTGAGGGGCGGTGGTAGTGGAAGGCTCTCTTGGGTGGGGGTGCGGGCTGGGGTGTTCTTGGTCAATGTCAGGCTCTCTTCGTGTGGAAGGGGGATGTTGATTGGTGTCAAAGTCTGTGGGGGGCAATTTTTGTGTTGCCTAGGGCAGAATGAAACCTAAATACACCACTGATTGTACCATCTGATACTAAAAAAAAAAGCCCACTTAGGTCCCTATTTAAAATGAAAAACAGACTTTACTATCCACTGGGCACACAGCGGTCTGCCTTATACGCAATATTCATAAGCCAGCCTCCATGTACAGCCTGCGGTGTCCCATGGAATTTTTTTAGGCAGCCATAGTAGGCTGTAAGGCCATATGGCATCCTTCTACATGAATCTCCACCTTTATTTTGAGTTTATCTTTTGACGTGAGTCTCGGGAAGCTTTTCATACCACTTCTGGATGGGACTACAGACTCTTATGGGGTTTTTTTTTTTAATCAGGTAGTTTTTATTAAAAATGCTTACTTTTTTTCCAGTAGAAAAAAAAACAAATACATAATAACAAAAACTTAACATGTTCACAGTGCGATCCAATTTGCAAATATATCGGCATTTGCAATACAGTGACTTACGAAAAGAGTGATCACAGGACCCCAGGTACGGGGATATGAAGATTAATGTACAGTATGTCAGTCATCAGGCTCACGGCTTTGCAAGCATGATATATACTGGATAGTACAGAGTGGGGGTCAGCAACCTGTAGACTGCGATCTACCAGTAGATTGCTGCCAGATCACTGGGCTTGCTGACCCACCATCAAAGAGCATCAAACAGAGTGCAATGCAGAGGGACTACTTGTAGA